GCTAACAGAGCAATTCACAGCATGATGTAATCTAAAACTGATAAAGAACTGCACTGAAATACTGTTGAGTTGTCATGAATTTAATACAAGAGAGCACAGGCTGAATTATAGCATTCAAGCATTACAAACCTGGTCTTCCAACCCTGGCTGCCTTTTCTTTTGAGATTGTAACTCTTACAAATAATTCTCTCAGCCTCCTCCAGCTTTAAAACATTTTGAATGTATTCTCTAGTTATATTCACAGTTGTGCACAAAGTCACAGTTTCACTCAACATCTCCTTTTGCTCTTCATATTGTTACAATGGGTCATTCTTTTTCTTTGAAGACAAACTGACTGATGGAGTCAGAGCTAGGCCTTACATTTCAGGGGTGGGAGCTTCTTCAGCTGTCACCATTGTTGGTATCCTCACTAGAAACCTCAGTGAAGGAAGAGGCTACAGAGCAGTGCAAAATCACATACTCTTGATACACTAGTAAAGCACCAAAGCATACAGCACAGCTTCCTGGCATGCATTTCTGTGCCTATACAGCACTGGGATTCAGATCTGTCAATCCAGCATCTTCAGTAAGTGGCAAAATATCTTCATACCATAATGAAAACAATGAAATAAAATTTTAGAAAAATATTAAAATTTCACCTCAAATTAATGAGTTACTAAGTTTAGGAGTATTAGGGAATATATGCTCAGTCATCTCCCACACTAAGAAGAGAGCTCCTTTGGAGTTAGACAGAAATTACCGCAGTTCTCAGCTAAAGAAGTAGAGAGAGGGGGGGATTAAAAAAAGAATAGCATGTGAACCCACTAGTTGTTTTTTTTAGTTTTTTTTTTTTAGTTTGTAGACAGAATTTAGACCTCTGTCTGAATGACAACCTACCTTTTCTTGTATATGATTACCCTGGGGATGCTGAAGTATAGGCCAACAAAGGTGATCCCAGTACACCAGATACAGAGGGGAAAGAAGGACTTACTCTTCCCGTGTCATCATAACAGTGAGGAGACTTAACACCAGTGATAAAATTAGTAAACAGATCCACTCTCTAACTCAGCTACACAGTAGTTTTCAAACTAAAATATATCTATGGCTTAAAATTATTCTTCCCCTATCACCACTAAAACTTTTGAGTTAGGAGAACAGCTAAAATGATACATAGGCCAACAGGTCTGCTTGAAGTGCACACATACTCTCCTGTGTAGTACGTGTGCCACAAGGCAGACCTTCAGAGAGACCTTTCTAAACTCTGCAACTTATTTTCTTCACTTATGCCAGATTTTGGTCAGCTCCAGCTCAATGCAGATGATCATCAAAATCTCTCACCTGTTACTAGAATCAGTTAAGGAAAAAACAAAAAACAAAAAAAAAGCATTATCAGGGTGAATGGCTTTTAATGCATTTAAAAATTTTGTGATAACACCACCTGCAGCTGCTGCTGCTATACTATAATCCTTTTCCAAACAGACTGTGAACTGTTTGGATAACCTATCAACTCTGTGCTTCCCACAGAGGTCTCCCAACATTATTAAAGCTAGTTTAGTTATTTTTAACATGTAAAACTTAGTAAGATTAATTAATAGGTTAACTTAAAATGACAAGTAGTATCACAGAAAAGCTAGACAACTTGTGGACTTACATGTCCAGATTCACATTAAGTCCTCCTTAAAGATACCAAATGTAAACCAGATGTTTAAAGATTTAAACATGTCAAACATAAACTAAAATAGAATCCAGTTATAATATTGTTATTTTCATGGAACTACGAGGATAGAAGTGCCACTGCCAAGTTTGAGAGTAATCATAATTCCATAGGAAGTTTTTGTCTGCAAATTGGAACTTGGAAAATTAGATCATTTGGTTTGTCTATTATAGTCCAAACATTTCTAATTATATAAAACTATTTTTTAAAATGAAACTGGAATTTTATATTGCTATATGGCAAGCTGAAAGCAAAACTTTGCTCAGACACAGCAGCTGCTACAAATCTGTCTTAAAACTTCCATTTCATGCAAACCAACAGCCACCTATGCAGTGTTATCAACTATGGCTAATTAAATGAATGCAAATCATGCTATAATCTACCATGCAAAGCAAACTCTTTGTGCCTTAATATGCAGTTATTTTGTGCCATAATCCTTGAAATAAAGATATTATTTTTGAACAATTTCCCTCTCAAGCTTCTATATAAATTTCAAACATGATGTTTTCTTTCATTTTCCACATGAAAATAATGTCTAAACTTACATTCCAATTTGTATTTCTGAAAGACCTTCTATTTCAGCAGCTATCTTGTTCCAGATCTCACAAGCTCCCACTTGTCCATCAGTCTCTCATTTGGGGCCCTCTTTCATGTCTTTTGAAACATCCAACTCTTCTGTTTCTACCAATGCTTCTTCATCAATTACAGCTTTAGTAACCTCAAAGAAATCTTGCAGGTCACTTAAGCATGGCCTCCAGATCTGAGTCCATGAAAACTCTCTTCAAACAATCTTTCTAGCTTTTAACATGTACTCCCAGATGACTTCTAAGGTCCTGCACCACCCTCTTTCAGTTTCCCAGACAAGAAGGGAAACCCAAGCAAGGGAAGCTGCTCAATACCCCTCTCATCCCCACTGTCACCTTAGATCCTAACACTGAAATTCCTCAAGAGGAATCACTCACTGCAGGTAAGGTATCACAGAAGGCAGGAGCTAATGAACGAGGAAAGAGTCTTTACAGTTGTGGATGTGACCAGAAGGACCCACCAGCCTAGGGTTCATAGGGCCTTAACATCTTTCTTGGGTCACTTGCCCTTCACAGCTTTCGTTAGCTCTTGAAGTCCACCCTACAGTTCTTTCCCATTGGTCCCCTGATCTATTATTATAAAAAATAGGCATTTACTATGTTTTAAAAGCATTTTCGCATGTATAATTTCTGTCAGTGAGTCAACATCCTCTTTTCCTTTCTTAATGCCAGGCTTGGGTTCACAGCCCTCTTTTCCCTCTGTGTCCTCTGGCTGGCAATTCTCAAGGATTTTAGATAGTGTTTCTGTACTTGTGATTCTCAGATTCTCCCTCTGTCATCAACCTTTCTGCCTCTGTTCAGTCCCAGTGCTGAAGTTGCTGTCTGGCATCTCTTCCTCGAGATTTTTTCACCAGTTTATGCTAGCTGAAGTGCAGAGTTGCCTTGATTTAGCTTCACTTTCTCCTTTCTCATTCATAGATTATACAAATACCATACTCCCATTCCTGCTGTCTTCCCTCCCTTTTCCCAAGAGTCGCACGCAAATAGCACCAGGTCTCAGGCCTTCCCTCTACCCCATCAGCTTAAAGAGCAGTCTGTTACTATTTTCACAGGCAAATCTGCTGGTCAGACCTCTTTGGAACATCTCACCACAGCTACTGCAAAGTTTTCTTCTCTGCATCCCAACCATGCAACATTCTTTGCAAGGAATTTGCAGGTGACCTCCTCTCACAAACCTGAGCACACCGATTGTTCCTTGACAAGGACAAGCCTTCCACTTGTGTGCTGTTCCCACACATCTGAATTTCAGTCATACTTTGAATTCAACTAACTGCATTCCCCTGGTCTGTCCTCTTCTGTTGAGCATCATGTTGTCCCTACCACTTTTACACTCCAGCAGCATTCCCTAACTATGTACCTTCCAACTTGGTATATTTCACCATGGCATGGCCTCAATCCACAAAGGCTCAGCTCTCCAGGCTCTCCCATAAGCCCATTCCTCCTGGGACACTAACAGCAAGTAAAACAAAGTACAGAACACATCTACATACCTCTCTTACTTCCCTTCCACACAACCGTCTTCCCGCTGTTCTTCAAGTTCTTTGTAAGACAGGAACTGGGGGGTTTTTGAAACTTCCCTTGTCATTATTTGTGGATCAATTAAAATTAAAAAAAAGAATAAAAAACACAAACACAAATTACAACTTCCTACCAATTAGATGTTAGGGAAAAAAACCAAGTGAACAGTGGGAAAAGATGGAGAAGCGGTGTAGGCGTATGGGACAAAGTAAAAGCACAGCGGGACAGGAAGGAACAACCCTGCATACCCCCGGTCGTGAGGAAAGAAATTTACGCCTGGGAAGGTCTTGCATTCTGCCCTTCAGCCAGTCCGGTTCAGGCAGGACGAACACAGCCGTGAGTCAAGTCAATGGTGCTCGAGAGGGTCACTCGGAGCCGAGGGGCAGCACCGGGACACCCACCGCTCCCGAAGGGGACCCCCGGCGCGACCACCGCGCGGCTGCGGGCAGGGGAGCGGGGCGGCTCTCTCCCCGAGCGGCGGCTGCTGGAGCGGGCAGCCTGTCCCGGCAGCGGCGGGGGAGCGGCGGGTGCGGGGGGCGCGGCCCGCGCTAGGACCCGGGCGGGAGCGGCGCCTGCGCGGCGGTGCCCGGCGGCGGGCGGCTGCACCGAGCGGCTCGGCGGCGGCGGCGGCAGCGGCAGCGGGAGGAGCAGCGGGAGGAGCAGCGGCAGCGCCGCGGGTCCCGCCGCCCGCACCGGCAAGCGCTCGACCCGGGCCGGCCGGGCGCAGGGGCGGAGGCGGCGGGAGCGCGGCGCTGTCCCTTCAGCACCGGCAGCGCCCCCCGCCCCGCACCGCCGGGAGGGGCGCGGGCACAGCCCCGCGTTCTCCGCCGGGACTGCAGCCAGCACCGGCGCCCCGCAGCCCCGCGCACCTGTGGGCAGCGCCGGTGCCGTGATTTTTCTCCCCCCCACTCCCCCCCCTTTTTTTCTCCCTTTTTTTTTTTTTTTTTTTTTTTCCCTTGTGCTTTTGGCCACGTCCAACCAGGGAAAGGCCCTCCCCCTCCGGCACCGCAGCGCCCGCGCTCCCGGAGCATGGCCCCCCCTGCCCCTGCCCCTCCGCCGCGGCTGCAGCTGCCGCGGACCCCGAGCGTCTGACTCCAGACGGAGGCGGCGCAGCGCCGGGAGCCACCGCCACCGGCATCGCCTCGGAGCGGCCCCGGGGGAGCGGGGCTGGCCGGGGCCCCTCGCCCCCGCGGGCCCGGAGCGGGGCTCGGCTTAGGCACCGACTGCCGCCGAGCAGCCGTCCCCTGACGGGCTTGCTGCCTGCCGTGCTTGCTTGGATGAGTCTGCGACATGCCTAATAAGAGACGAGATGGGCCAGGGCGACGAGAGCGACCGCATTGTGATCAACGTGGGAGGGACTAGGCACCAGACTTACCGCAGCACCCTGCGCACCCTGCCCGGCACGCGGCTGGCCTGGATCGCTGAGCCCGATGCCCACAGCCACTTTGACTATGACCCCCGCACGGATGAGTTTTTCTTTGACCGGCACCCGGGCGTCTTCGCCCACATCCTGAATTACTACCGCACTGGCAAGCTGCACTGCCCCGCGGACGTGTGCGGGCCCCTGTATGAGGAGGAGCTGGCCTTCTGGGGCATCGATGAGACCGATGTGGAGCCCTGCTGTTGGATGACCTACCGGCAGCACCGCGACGCCGAAGAGGCTCTGGACAGCTTTGGTGGGGCGCCCCTGGATAGCAGTGCTGAGGACGGAGACATAGATGGCACCGGAGACTCTGGTGATGGTGAAGATGAGCTGGAGATGACAAAACGCCTAGCACTTAGTGACTCCCCAGATGGCAGGTCTGGGGGCTTCTGGAGACGGTGGCAGCCCCGCATCTGGGCACTCTTTGAGGATCCCTACTCCTCCAGATATGCAAGGGTAAGCTATGCAATCAACAGCCTCATCAAAACACTCAAACTTCCCCGTGGTTCCACTTCCTCCCAGCATCACCAGGGTTATCTCCGCTGTCAGAGCAGAGCAGTCATCCATGTGTGTGGCTGTACAAAAACCATGTGGGGTCTGTGGGGATGTAACCCACACTCTCAAGCAGGCCCCATGCATACAAGTAGACACCAGGGCCCAAGCTTGTGAACTCAGATGTGGGCCTCCAGAGACCTGTAGTATTTTCTAATAGGCTCCTAAAACTCCTAGAACAGCTTGGGGACAGGTCCCAGTCATGGGGCAGACAGGTCTCCATTACACCAGATAATTTTCCTCTATGCATAGATTTTTACAGTCAGACATCCCCCAGTAAAGAGAGACACCTTGTCCAGCCCTGTTACAAGCTAATGGCTCTTTATGAGATGGAGGAAGGATTATGGGAGCAGGGGCAGTCTCAGTGGTACCAGGGGATTTGGAGAGTTTCAGCCTGGACTGGAAAGGAAGTCAGTGCCTTTCTCTTTTCTCATACATACCAAGTTAAATATTTATGAACATGCTTCTCTGAAAATGGGTAATTCAGCTGCTCACTCTGTCTTTTTCCCTTGTGGGAAATGCAAAGTATTAATCAGAGAAAACGGTTTCATTCATGTTGAAGGGACACTGTGTTTGACAGGTTTCTTGCCTGCTACTGAAGGACAGCTCCTCCCCTCCTGGTGCCTGCAGTTGTTTTGGAAAGGGGGAATGCACACTGGTGCAGTTCACAGAATAGGTGTGGATAAAAATGGTCTGTAACAGTCATTCGATTCCTTCAAGTAGGCACCTCCTCATGCTATGAGGATAATTACATTAATTAGGGCCTGATTCTGCTCCTGAAATCAAAAGTACTGAAAACATTTGCTTTAGGAACAGCAGCAGGATTAACTCCCAAGATAGTCAATTTGATAACTAGGGAAACAGATGGAGGATAGTGCTTTCATAAAGAAAATTGGTTGGCATAGTCTTTACTCTTAAATATACCTTTGTTCCAGCTTAATTGCTGCCAGCCCTGGGTAGAGATGAGTGGTGCTTTGGTGGGGGAGGGTGATCAGTGTTCCTGAGAAGGATCAAAGAAATGATATCAATTAGGGAGAGATTTGGATGGATGGAGGAAAGAGAAGTGGAGGTGCAAGGAGCAAGGAGAGGGGAGCTGGCCATGTATGAATGGGTGGTGGAATAGCAGCTGGCAGAGACTTGGTCTGAGCAGAGATCTCCAGCAGGGAGACACCAGGTCTGCAAACTGAATGAATGGGGAAAGCTGGAGCAGAGCCTGGAATTATATCTTGCTACATTTCTAAAGGTTCTTGTTTGCGTACCATTTGGAGACTTCCTCCCTGAACAAAGGAGTTCATACTTTAAATGAATTCCTTTAAACAGCATGGAGGATAAAGGAATAATAGATTCCTTACCACAAGATGAAAAGATGATGCTGTTGTATTGCAGGTTTCAAATCCCTGATTTCTGCCAAGGGAGCATGGAAATGCAAGGCTGTAGGGTATCCTTCAAAATGCTTGGTTTCCATTAATTTAACAAGCCCAGTGTTAGCTGACAATGTGAAAAGCAGATCTCTCTAGTACCCAGGAATCTGTTGGTAAAACACATTTCAAGTGAAAGTAATGTGCTTGTTCAAGATTTTGGGAAGCGGTTCAAATGGATAATGTTGTCCCAATGAAAAGGATACAGAAGTTAAAACACCCTTTTGCTTGGAGGCATTATGATATTTTAGGAGAAGGACAAAGATTTATAACCAATACTAGGAGTCTTTGTGATGCACAGGCTGGAATTTTAGAAGGATATAAATTCTCTAAGGGTATTTCGATTTAGCAATAGTATATTATAAAATTATTTGGGTTTGTTGGGAGTGGGTTTTTAGAGTGGATGATGTACCATTTATTCACAATCACTTGTGCATGCCTGTTAGAATTCAACTTCTGATTTACTTCTAACTTGTTCTTTCCTTAAAGGATTGCTAAAATTAGATAAATATGAATACACTGAATATTTTGTGAGTTAAATATGATTCTTTAACTTGTATCTATGGAGATGAAGGCCACATGCACTAATATTTTGCGTGAAAGAAAATGGCTTTCCTCATTAACACATGCACACACTGTCCATTAAGAAGACATTATTAAGACACTTAACATTTCCTAATAAAAGCCATACATTATGTTATGGATGTAAAAAGAGATGGGAGTTTGATTTATGCTTCTGTAACCTAACACAGACATTGCAGAAAGACCTGAAGCTTACAATAGCTAATTTACAGTAAAATAACTGATAACATCATTTACAAGTGAATTGTATATTAAGGCAATCATTGGTAGAGTTAGGCAACAAATCCACTGTTACCCCATTTCTAATTGAGTGTGCTACTTTTATTTACAAACTGCAATTCAGTTGTGCAAAAATCTAAATTCACATTGCCATTTTGTCAAAAAAAAAAAAAATCATAATATTTCCTCTTCCTAAATGGAACTGGGACCTGTACCAAGGGTGGTTATTATACACCTTTGATGTTTACCTATGGCACCAAAATGCATGTCAAAATAACACCTCAATGTAAGCACCAGTTTACATAACCATTATAGTGTTACACTTGAGCAACTGAAAGGAATACAGTCTCTGAATATTAAGATTAAATGCAAAGCTGCATATCTCTGTATAAAGCAAGATTCTCTGGACTGTATCTGGTATGCTAGGTCAGTGAATGTTTAGGAACTGTCCATGAAAAGCTCAGCATTTACTCAAATCCAGCCATTCTTGGATTTTGATGGACATTGCTTGCAAATACAAGTACATTTGACTGTTTTTCTTCACCTCCACCTGACTCATACTAAATTACTTCTGATCTCATTGTAGACAGCCAGGGAAGACTGGAAGTGCATTTGTGTATGTCAGGCAAAATCAGCTAACTCTGCAAATTTTGTTTATTTCTTAACTTTGGTTAAGCAAAGCTCCTAGTCACTAATCATTTGTTTTTAGGCCAAACATAGTCAACAGTTGCTTGTTAAAACAATAGTGGCTGATTTTAATTAATTTCAAGTTTTCTCCACGCTAATTTCTTAATAATGTAATTCTTTCTAAAAAGAGGAAACACTTCAAAAATTGCATCATCTTCTATATCTGTAACAAGAAAATATAGTTTGTTTCAAATGACAGACTGCCTTAGATGCCTATCTTGGTAAGATAAACAGATATTATACTTCTCCTTAACCTAAAGAATCCACATTTGGATATCAGAGGCAAAGTCTAGTGCCTAAAGATCTGAACAGAGTAATGAAAAGGTGATGGGAAAGATGCAGAAGGATTGTCAAAAGCATCTGTCCAGACAGCTAAATATCACTGCACACACCTAAACTGAGTTTATTTGATGCTCATTATAACTGTCATTTTTGCACCATCAGACAACTTTGTAATTTATTTTTTTTCTAAGTAGGCACAAAGGGGAAAATAGAGTCAGCCAGAAAGAGATGCTAAAGCAACAGAGAGTTTCACTGTACTAGAGTTACTGCCCTCTGTACTTACTAGACTTCATGAATCCCAAACAAAAGTGTGGAAAATATTTTCTTAGCATCCTCTCGCCTTTATATTTATGTCTGGTCATGCTGTTCTTCCACTAGTAAAGCTCCCACTGACTTCCTAGGGAGTTTGGCCTGCAGGTAATCTAACATATTTATTCCCCTTCCTCTTCCTCCTCCACAGCAGGATAAAGTTGTGTTTGTGTTAATTCACATTCCTTGGGTTAGTCAGTGTTTGAGAACAAGGAGCATTCAGCTGAGATTGTGCGCTACTGCTCACATTCAAATTGGACAGTTAAGCTCTTTTAGTGAACCCTCAGGAAAGCTATTGTAGTCCTTCCAAATAAACATTTTTACTGGTTTTAAATAAAAGCTGGTTGGAGTCGTGTGGAAGGTCCTCAACAGCTTGACTTGCAATCCTGTCATATGCTGTACTGCTTCAATCTGTAAGGGGAAAAGCAAAACTCTCACTTACTTTTCCCTCATGTTTCCCCTTCACATCCTTCACAAAGAAGAATTTGCTTTCCTCAGTGGGTGACTTTTGAAGGACAAGTATCTGACACTGAAAAGGAGACAGGAAAAAAGGATAGTGGTAAAGAGATGAGAAAAAGGTGTTCCCCGGGGATTTCTTCCATCTTTCTTTTGTACATTCAAGAACATTTCAACCTTGCTGTGTTCATTTAAACTGCTTTTTCTCTATATAAAGTACGGCTCATAGGTATAAAAAGGCTTATGGGTTCCTAATTCCTGAATTACCACACTGTCTTGAGGATTAGAGGCTGGGGTGATTCTGCCTGTTCCTTACCCCTGGCCAGCACAGCTTAGCTCAGGAATTGAGGCAGATATCAGGGAGTGGGAACAGATACTCCCCATCCTTCACAAGGGAAGCTTATTCCACAGATGTGTGACACGGGACACACTTGGTGCAGGAGCGCTCCACAGACAGTGGTCTGGAGACTCCCACCAGGCATGAGTAGACAGGGACAGAGGGGATGAGAGCTGCCCCAGTCGCTTTCCTTTATCCTCCTCAGCTCCAAAGGGGCCCCACTGGAGCTGCTCTCCCACTTGAGCCTTTCTGGAAGGTGTCTCCTGCAGAGGCATATCTAATCCTGCACTGAAGCTGGCTGCAGGAATTCTCACCATATACTTTGACAATTAACAAGACTGCCTAATTTTAACTGCATGCTGCATTACAGCTCTGGAAAAATGAGAATCTTTCCACATCAAATGACGTTTCCGTTGCACTTGTAGTATAATGGAATTACAGTCATCTATTAACTACCATTCTATCATTCGTTATTAATATAGTTCCTAAAATTCCTTTTTATTCATATTTTCTCCCATCAAGGAACATGTTACTGCAAATCCTTATGTAACCCACTAGTGAGCATGGTAGTCTTCTCTGCATCCTGACCAAAGAAACCTTTGCAATGCCAGTTA